GAAATCGGTTCGTTACCGTTCGGCGCCGAGCAGCCCCGGCCGTGTGCTCGGGCTCCTGACGGCCGCAGCTTCTCAGCCGTTGTTGTCCCGCGGAGCCCGTGGAAGGCGCCGTACCGGGGCGCCTTGGCGTGGCCGTACAGCTGCCGGGCATTACCGTACTTGAAAAACGCAAATGAGCTTTTTACTTCATGAGTTACTGCTGCCCAGAGAGGGGAGGGAGAGCAGGCCACCGGGAGTTACTGCCGAGAACGGAGAGGCGTCGCCTGCACGCCTTTGCTCGCCGCTTCGGGCCGTGAGCCGCTTCAATCACACAGGCGCCCGGCGCCTGGGCTCTGCTGTTGACCGCGTTATTAAGTGTCGTATCTCTGAACTCCGAGCGGTTGTTTTTGTCCTAAACCCAGCTGAAGGACATCGGAAGTGAGTACGAGCTGGTTCCTATTTCTTTCCTCCTAAAGGTTTTAAAAAACATTTAGTTTGCAGGTCTCGCAGATGTGTCGATATCTGAAGATATTCCCGTGGAAGGGGAGATTACTGTTCCCGTCGGATCTCACTCTCCTGATGAAGACTACTCCACGCTGGATGAGCCCGTTAGGGATACGATTGTGAGTCTGTGTATCTGGGGTCACCCCCGCCTTCTGCTGACGTCTTTGGCCAGCTGCTATGCAGAACCTGTATTTTTGCATAGCTCTGCTTGACTCGTACTTCATCGTAAGGGCGGGGGTTTTTAGAACTGGCTACGTGAAATGAATTCTCGGGGGTCAAAAAATATCTGAATTATTGGCCCCAAAGTTTCTGTGTGATCTCCAAATCTTTACAAGGGTAAAGGCCTCGGATGAAGCTTGGAAGAAAACTGTCCCAGCTAATAGGATGTTTCATTAACTTTCTTTTCCTAGAGGAGCAAACAAATTGCTGTTCTTAGCTGGGTGTCGCTAAAGCATGAGATGTGCTTAAGGAATGCAGGAGAAGTAGGTGTTGCTTGTTGCAGAGGATGCTGCAGCAATGTTGGGGTTGGATCCTATCTTGATTTACCACCAATTCTCCTTCTATCTTGCTGCTTTCGGTTGTGAACTGTAATTTGTACGAAGCGAGTAATTAAAGTATTGCTTCTTTATTTCAGATGAGAGATCTGAAGGCCGTTGGGAAGAAATTTGTCCATGTCATGTACCCGAAAAAGAGCAGTGCGCTCCTCAGGGACTGTACGTATGAGAAGATTTTCAAAATCTTGAAGGGATGTTTTGCCAACAGACTTTGTCCCCGTGGGAAAGGGAAGAGTTCAGGGGGACAGGGACTCGGCAGCATCTGTTCTGTGTTCGCTCTGTGGTTGTAGAGCGCTGAATAGCAAACACGAAAAGTCAGAGCGTTACCAAAGCTCCCTAAAAGTGGAGCATGTGCCAGGATACATAGGAGAGGTCGCTTTAACAGCTGCCAGGCTTCAAATAGGTTGTGGTGTGGAGTATGGCGTGTAAGGTGCTAAAGAAGGAAATTATAAGGAAGCAAAGTGATCCATTGGGAGCTGGAAAAAGGTGCTTTACTGCTCTCTGGAAAATGAAACTGAGCGTCATTCAATGTTATTTATTTTATTTTTTCCTTGACCTACAGGGGATCTTTGGGGCCCTTTGGTGCTTTGTGTCTCACTTGCACTGTAAGTACTTACAGCGGGATTTGGGGTTGTAGAGTCTCCAACTCTACAGAAACTCAGTGATCGACTGCGAATGACTCCTCTTATCTGTTACCTACAACAGGATGCTTCAGGGTGGATCGGCAGATAGTAAAGACGACGGAGGGCCCCAGTTTGCCGAGGTCTTTGTCATCATTTGGTTTGGTGCAGTTGTCATCACACTAAACTCCAAGCTTCTGGGAGGAACTATGTGAGTGCTGGTTTATCAGAGCAGTAAAGCCGCTCCCGTGCATGGAGTTTCTGCAACGCTTTGGTTTGACTACCTTTTTTTTCCCCGTTTCTGTCTCTCCAGATCCTTTTTTCAGAGCCTGTGCGTTCTGGGTTACTGTGTCCTGCCCCTGACAGTAGCAATGCTGGTGTGCAGGCTGGTGCTGCTGGCAGGTTCTGGGACCATCAGCTTCGTTATACGTCTTATTGTGGTGGTCGCTATGTTTGGTTGGTCAACATTAGGTGAGTACCTTTTGGCGTTGTAACGCTGTTGTGAGCGCTGAGTAGTGCCGAGCTTAAGGAGGTGGATCTGCATGTGCTCCGTTGGGTAAAGCCAACGGGTATTGTACTGGACGGACTATTGTAGAAATAGTTCTTCCAGTCCTTGGGAGAGGATTGGCCTCTGCCTGTGCTCTTGTTGATTTTCATGGTCATATGCAAATTGCCTTCGGCAGAAAGATGGTAATTTAATATTAAACCCCATGTGAGACTACGGGGTATTTTATTCTGTGGTCTGTGTTGTAAACACTATTGGAAAATGCTCATTTCATACAGATGCATTTGTATTATTTCTCCCGTTCTTAATCTGTAAGCCTGACTCTTGTTACAGAATGTTAATCAGCATTTCTCTTTCTATAGCATGGAAAGCTTTAATTGGCAATCACAGCCCGTTGGTACTGAGCAATGGATTACTCTCTTTTCTTTTTCAACATAATTCTAATGCAGATCCTAATTCAAAATTGTTAACGTTTGCAGTGGATCTTGGACTTCCACTTTTATGCTGCTCACATTTCAAATCTTTTTCTTTTTCACCAGCATCTACAGCTTTCCTGGCAGACAGTCAGCCTCCGAACCGCAAAGCTCTTGTTGTCTACCCCATCTTCCTCTTCTACTTTGTCATCAGCTGGATGATTCTCACCTTTACACCTCAGTGATCTCCAGTTGGAAGAGAATAGACTCTGTCGTACGGACTGAAGTTTTTTCATGAACCCTGCAGTTAATCATTGGCTTTATCTCCTTCTAATTTATATATAGAGAGACACTGTAAAAAGGCAGGTCATGGGATAAAGCCAGAGAACTGCCAAGATTGGTCGTTTGTGTGTCCCTCTTTTTGAAAGATACTGAGGTCCAGCTGCTGAGAGGTTTTTTATTTAGCCCTGCTCTTTAGGTGCGTTAAATGAAAAACGCCCACTGTGACAGGGATTATTCCACCTGAGGAGTAGAGCAGGAGATCCTGGAATTTCAAGACGTTGGGTAGATGAAAGTGAAGTTATAGGATTGCACGACTGGGCAGAATTCTTGCTTGTGCTTGGATTCTCACTGAAGACGAATATGCCTTATGAAATAATAGAACTTCATTGCTGTTATGTGTTGGGTAGGGAAGAAATGTGTTTGACTCCTGTTCTTTTTCATTCCCTTATAGAGTGGTGAAATGTATATAAAGGGCATCACAGGACTGCGTCAAAATCAGATTTCAGCAAAAAATAAGTTGGGTCCATTTTGCTGTTATTGGAGCTGGGTGTCAGGGAGCTGCCCTTGCTCATGCTCATGCATCGTGTATTTATGTTCCATCCCCCAACATATGTTGATAAAGAATGTTTCAGCCCAATGCATTCAGCACCACAGTCACGCTGACCGATCCGTGTGCCTGAGAGGGAGCGTGTTTGCACTGGGTAGTTACAAACCTTTCCATGTGCCCATGGGTTAGAGAGCGTTAAAAGGCCTGGAGAAACAGTCAGGACCGGTTTGAACACGGACTTAGCTGTCACTGCATACTGAGAATGGAAAACTGTCTGGAGAGCACCCAGTAAAGCGTGTGTGTGTCTGTGTGTATATAGATATTTATGTTAAAAAACCCCAAAAGTTTGTGAAGTTGAGGTTTTGATACACAAGGTGTTTGGGTGCTAACATACCGCACCAGGACTTACTGCCCAGAAGTTTTAAAACGGGTTGGAGGAAGGAAACTAAACCCTGATGGTGGTGGTGGCTGCTGTGAAGTAGGATGTGAATTCCCATCTTAACTGCTTGTCTGTGACTTTTCCTTTGGTTGTTTACATGGGCTGCGTTGCTACGGAAATGTGTACGTGTTTGCATATTGTTGCTTTGTACTTTAAATGAGATGTGAGAAACTTTTCTATAGGTTTGGGGGTTTTTGTGGGTTTTTTTTTTGCTTAATACTCTTTATAAGAGGGGAGGAGGCTTTCTCCTCCGGTTCCCTGAGGGTGCGCTTGCGTACCTTGCCTGGAGAGCCAGGCCGAGGTGTACAGCCGTGCCATTTGTGTTTCAGCGTAGGGCTGGAGCCTGGAGAATTGCCTTTCGAAAAGTGTGCAGAAATGTTTTATGTTGTCTGTTATTTTCAGTAAGCAATCCAAGGGGAGAGCTTTGAAACATCTGGGGGTGAAAAAGCTGCTGTTAAAATGTCACTTTTCCTGGAAATGAGTATTGTGTTTCCTTTTTCCTGCAGTAATGCGGATAGACCTGAAAACAATATCGATGGGTCCTGCTGTGTAAATACGCCCGATTTATATTTGTATATAGAAGTGCAGTTTCTGCTATAAACACTACTAAGTCTTTGATAGTTGGCAGTTTCTCAGTGTGCAGGTTAAAAGTACATTTTTGCATTTCTGGGAGTCTGGAGAAGAGGGAAGGAAAAATCAGTTGCTGTCTGCAGAGCAGACATCAGCGAGCGTCTGCGGAGCTGCCGCCCGTTCTTGCTCCTCCCTCACGCCTTCGCCCGCGGCTGCCCTGAGGTGCTGCAGGAGGAGCCGTAGCGTCCCATAGATGTGGGTATAAAATGGAAATGGGGAATTTCTAACCTTCCATTAAATTACCACGGGCACGGGATGTGATTTTTCTTTTAAATGCGTGGTTTTCCATTCATTTAAACATGAGTTCAGCTTTGTGAAGCTGAAAAGAAACCTTCAAGGGAAGTAGATAGTGAAGCTGTTGCTGGCTACAGTGGGATTCTTTGAGCCAAATCTTCCCTACCGCAGCGCAAGAATTTAACCATGCTTTGAGATAAATCCTTGGAATTCTCTCTCTGTAGTGTCCTGTGTCTTGGGCTGATGCTATAGCTGAAAAATAATTGCCGTAACATTTAATTGGTCCAGTATCTTTTTTAAAAGAAGGAAAATTCTTTCTAAGGGGAATTAAAATCCCAGCTTATTCCTTGCTTGTTCTTCACTTGTAATGACTCTGTTCATTTGTAAGTCTCGTCATGTTTTTTTCTGTAATGTTGCTCTTGGCTTATACAAGAGAAGAAAATTATTTTTATATTAACTAGATTTGCTTTTCAACTGGTCACAGAAGTTTTTCCTCGAGAGGTGTTTTTTAATCTGAAGGCATAGGCAGAAATATGCCGGTTATATGGTGAAGGGGTGATTTTATTTTATTTTTGTTTTGGTTGGTTGGTTTTTTGACTCTCAGCAATCCTTCTTTAGTACGGAAGCCATCACCTTCTAAAGCTGTAAATTCCTTACGTGGATTTCTGTCACTAAAGATGTCACTTGCCCTGAGGCTTTAGCTGGCAGGATGCAGGTAGGAAACCAGATTTTCTGAGTTTCCATGCCTCCATTTGAATAAAGTTACATGTCTTATGTGTGGTGGGGCTCTTCAGTCGTCGTTTCCTCTAGAAGGGCAGAGGATGTCAATGTCCATGGCCAGGAGCTCTGGTTGCTGTAGCTCATGCCCGGTTTGCCAGGCTCCTCTGGGCTTTGTCGCGTGTGGTGACGTCCCTGATGCCCACGCGCTTAAAAGCACGCAGTGTATCCCGTCAAAAACAATTTCCCCACCACAATGTTATAATCAGGTCTGGAAGAGCTTCATCAAGAGTGGCTTGGCCTCTCGACTTGAAGGTGATGATCGACTGAAGAACGTAGCCCTTTTGATTAGAACGTAATTGCTTCGACAGGCAGAGCAAGCAAGCCACGAGCACTGGTGGAGACGAGCACCAGATTGATTGATCGGCAATTTAACTGTCTTATGTGACTTCAAAACCTTAAGAAGCCCAAACTGGAATTTGCTCCTCAGCCAAGCTTTGATGTTGCGTAGAGCCACCGCCCCCATCGCACCGGCTCGCCCCTCAGCAAACAGGTGCTTCCCAAGGCGGACTCGGTACGGGCGCATTAAAGCACGATTGAAAAACTTCAGGTTTAGGCAAGCGAAATACCTCGAGCTCGCTTGCTATTCGCAGGCTGCCTAGAGTTAACGTTGATGAGTTCCTTTAAAACGAGGGTACGGCGTGAGAGGGGCCCGTTCGCTGAACGGCGCTTCGCCTTGTTTGGCCGGTTACAGAACGCGTGCCTCCAAAAATGCGTGCGGGTAAGTCATCCTTGTAACCACAAAGTGTATTTTATTATGAAAATGAATATTATAATCCAATTGTCACGCTTTCCAAGGGGAAAAAGTCTCTTCCTTCTTGTTCAAAGCCGGCCGAGGGAAGGGTAGCAAGGAGAAAAGCAGATTTCTTGCCTTTAATGAAGCGTTTTAGCTTTTCTGTGGAGGAGGTGGATGACTTTCTGCATAAACCAGACTTTCTTTCCCACTGAGATTTTTTTTTTTAATACTGTTTATCAGCTGCAGTTCCTGTATGTGTTTGAATTTAATTTTGATCTATTTAATACCAATGAAAATAATTTATTTGTTTTAACCTTAAAATGTATAAATCAAGTCATGCTGAAAGGCACCTGAGCAGTCTTAGGCGTGGGTTGCAGGTGCCATGGGCCTGGCTGCCTGGGTGGGAGGCGGCACCTTCGGCTCACAGAGCCTCCTGGGGCGCGGGCGCGTTCCAAAGGGCCCTGCCGATGCCTTGTCCGAAGAAAGGCGTTTTATGTGGCCTGGGAGTTTGGGAGTGAGCTAAAAGAAGGTGGGGCAGGAAAACAGCCGAGTTCCCTACTCCTGCGCCTATGGAGTGCCCTTAAGTGTTTGATTTGTGTGTCCGAGCGTCAGGGAGTCAATAGGTGTCGGTGGAAGCGCCAAGGTGAGGTATAAATCCTTTTCCCCTCCGCTGGCGGAGCACTGCTGCCATTGCTGCTGCCTGTAAGTATTTGATGTTCTCTTTCAGCCAGTCGGGCTAGCGTTTTCGGGGAGCGAGGACCAGAGCGAGTGTCTGGTCTGCGTGTGTTGGGCTGTTGTCCTACGCCGAGCGGTGCCGTAGGGGATCCGCAGTTCTGCGGAGGAAAAAAAAGCCCTGAAGTTCTTGTTACAGGTCCGTGAGAGGAGGCCAAGTGCTGGTAACGCCCAGGCTGTGCACGGACGGGCGCCGAGGGGGAGCTGCGTGTTGGCGAGGCAGAAGGGTGGAAGCCTCCCAGAGCCCCTGCCCACCGCTTCTCCCCGGCCCGATGCCAAGTGCTCCGCACCCCAGCGCAGGGCACGCACCCATCGGAGCGGAGCCGTGGCATCAGCTTGCTCGTGCCTGAATCCTGCCCGTGCTCCCGCCTGGTTCCAGGCTCTGCTCAGGGCAGTGAGGAGCTGTGCCAGCTTACCCGTGAATCCGTATTCGCGCAGGAACCCCCCTCTCCCCTCGCCTGCAGGGGAGGAAGGTCTTGGTAACCACCGAATTGGTGCGAATGCGCAAGGGGCGCTGACCGGGACTGTGTGCCGAGATTAAAATACGAGGGGACTGAATATTGCAGGGGTAAAGAGGGAGCAGACCTTGGTGGGAAGGTGGCCAAATAAATGAACGGCAATGAAAAACCATCACTGACCGGTACTGGAATTTGAAGTTCCCGAAGCGCATCCATACTCTTGCACCGTGCCGCGGGGTGACGGCGGGGACTGGCTCTGCCCTGAGCCTTGGCTGAGGACCCTTCCCGTGAAGGTGGTGGCAGCAGGGACATGGTGAGCCGTGCACCAGGGCCCTCGGCCAAAATGTCCCGGTGGTCACAAGAGGGCGGCATGACCTTGCAGTCCCTTGGCTTTTCCTCTGTTCCAGGATTAAGCATGTCTCTCTTTTTCTTCTTTTTTTTTTTTCTTCCCCTTCTCCCCCCCGCCCCCCCGTGACGGTGACAACCAAGCTGCGCACTGAAGTAGCTTCCCTTAGAATCGTGCCTAGGAAATCGTTAAGACCCCTGGATTATTTCCATCTCTCAGTTGACATGTTCATGCTCTGAAGCGTACCGTCCTCTCACGCTCCTGCACATCGCAGAGCAATTGCTCAATGCAATTTCTTTCGCCCTTGCCCAAGTCATAGGTGGGTGGAAAACTGAAATTTGAAGATTATTTTGTGCAGTCAGAGTCTGGGCTCATTACATGCTTGACATTTTAAAATTGGTCTTATATAAGTGCATAGCAAATTTTAAGATAATCTTGCTTTCAGCGCCATGCTAGGGTAATCCAGGTATCTTGCCTTGCACGTTGGTTATCATGGGTATCAACGTGTCGGAAAACTTGACCTTTTTGCAGAACCAGTGTTTTGCCATCTCTTCAGCTTTGCTCTTGGAAGCAAAACGGTTGCACCTGAAAGAACGGGTCTGGGCCCAGCCCGGTTTGTCAGGGGTTGCACGTGGTCCCGTGCTGACGCCTGTTGAGCGGATGGGTGGTCGCTGACGGCCCGCGTGAGCGTCCCTGTCGTGGGTGCAAGGGGGAGGACGCTTGGCGAAGAGGAGAGCGGAACTTTTTTTTCCCCATCGAACTAAGGCGTCCTCACGTTCTGAAATGCACAGGCACGGCCCAGAGATGAAGGGGGGTGGGTTTTGTTTTGTTTTCCTCCCCACAGAGACAAACCCTTGCTCTCAGACAGAGCCAGCTCGCGCCCTGGGGAAAGGCGAAGGGCTGTACTCTGAACCCTCCCCGGGAACGCAGCAGGGTTGGGATCCCTGGGCTCTCCGGGCTGGCGGCAGCGGGCAGGGCTGGAATCCCATCCCGGGGAGGCAGCGGCTGGTGCTGGGGGGTCTGTGCCTCCCGTGCGCCGGGGTCCAGGCTTGCGGCGGGGAAG